TAAGAGTGTTCATTGTTGGCTGTTCCTTAAGAAGTGAATTTCAGAGGTTTTCCACAATCAGAGTTGGCAATTGGGAAGCACTTGGGTCTGAGTTCAGAGAACAGGCATGTTGGTTTTGCATTGCCAATGGATCTAAATGAACAGGGATGTCATAGGCAGTTTGACATCATCCAAGGTATGACTCTTCGCTCTTTCCTGCTGCACACATCTGCAGACAACAGCAGCGTGTGTCTGAAGGCAGCCTCCCACCAGTGCATTACCTTTGGGGACAGTGGGATGGGAGATCATTCCTTCCATTATGGATGAGTGAGATAAAATGCAGCACGGAGGAGTTTAATGTTATTTTCCAAACAAAACATTCAATTAAAGTGGAAGCAGAGAATTTGCAGACATTTGCGTTTTTTCCTTAGAAGAACTGAAAAACATTTTGTTGTGGATGAGCCATAAATGTTGTGTGGGCTGGGACTGTATAACTGATTCACTTGAATTTTGTAGCACTGCAGTGCTGCTTTTGATTTTCTAACAGCTCAACCCCAAAATTAAGTTAATTCTTGTATTGCTGTACTACTATTAAATATGAGTGTGATTTATTGTACCAAAATATTTTAAATTGTTTGACCTGAGATGTGTTTTGCTAACAGATCTGATGGCATGGAATTGTGTTGTGTTGAAAGAGACTTCTTCCATGTAGGAGTAGTTGTATTTATAGAGAGCCAATATGATGATAGTTATACTAGTGGAAGAACAGTCATGGCACTTCCAATTCTGGTTTGGCATTCATGGCATTTTACTATTCAAGCAAAACTGTACAGCTTGTGTAGGGAGGCCCATGAATAGAAATGAATGTGCTTTTCCCATGACTGATCTCATCATTGACTGAGGATTTAATTCTTGTTTCTTGTTTCCTGTTGCTGAAGATGTTGAAGAACCTAACACGCAGAGACTTCTCTCCCAACCAGTTATCGTGTCTTCTAAGTTGCAAATCCCTGGCCTGCCCTTGCGCTGGGAACAGCAGAGCAAGCTCCTTCCAAGTGTGGCTGGGATCCCAGCCAGCAAAGTTTCTAAATGGAGTACAGATGAGGTAGGTTCCCTCTTTGTCTTCTGTCTTACTACCACTGTCTTTGAAGGCTGATTTAGAGCTTTAGATTATCCCCATAGATTAAGAATAATACATGACTACTCAGAAGATTAGACTCAGCCAAGTCTAATGTAAGTGATCCCCAAAATGCTCATCCCGCTGCCATCCAGCCCCAGAAGCAGAAGTATTCATTCATATGTGTACTGATGCAGATAAATATGTATATATATATATACATATATATATACATATATATATATGAAAGCATATTCACTGGTGTTGTAAAGAGAAGTGCTAAATGTATGGCCCAGCATATCAAGTGCTCATGGTCTCCACTACCAACATCTAGTCCCCACACAAACATTCTGAAGGAATGGACCCCAGTGTAGGGGTCTGCATGAAGCAAGCATCTATTCCTGGTGCGTAGTTTGGATGTGGTGCACTGCTTTGGAGAGTGAGAATACAGTGCAGAGAGGAACTGTATGGATATGGGCAGGCCATAGCACCTGATTTTAAGATTAGAGCCTCTGTTCGGGTATGTAGCAATGCTTGGGCAGACAGAATCTTGTAATTGCTTTACTTTCACAAGTACCTGTGACTGTTCTCTGCACCTGAGGCAGTTGGATCTCATTTAATCAGAGAACAAAAGAAGCATGACTCTATGCACTTACAGAACAAGGTGGAACACCTAATATGAGACTGTAAAAACAATAGCTAAAATACTTTAATGATTGTCAGCCTTAAAGACTATTTTGAGCAAACATGAGTCTGACTAAATCTTTTGTTTTATGCTTTGGTGGCAGGTCTCTGAATTTATACGAAGTTTACCAGGATGTGAAGAACATGGCAAGGTGTTTAAAGATGAGGTGCGTAAAAAAGGACAGAGACAAGAAAGCTTGGTAGAAATACATATAAATTAGTAGGATGAAGTGTATGGAATCATAGAATCATCAGGGTTAGAAGGAAGAGCTCTTTAAAATATTAGGTCTAACCCTCCAATCCAGCACTATCCCTGTAGCCTCTAAACCTTGCCAACCAGCACCAGATCCAGATGCCTCTTGAGCTCTTCCAGGGATGGTGACTCCACCACCTCCTGGGACAACACATTTCAGTGCCACATTGTTTAAAGTGAGATGCAAATGTATAGAAGAATAGGTTGGTTTTCAGGTCATGAAATAGGAAGAAAGTAAAGAGAAAACCAGCCAAGTGTCAGCCAGGTCTTTTTCCAACTTTGTTCCTGCCAACTGAAATTACTTACAAACTTTTTGATTTACTGCTGTTCTCTCTTGGTCTGATTGGACAAGATTTGTAAGCAAGGATGTTATTTTAGTTCTCCAGGATGTTAATAAGTAAAATAAAGCAGAACGGTGGTTTGAGATAACCGCCCCTTAAAACTCCTTGCATCTTGTCTCATCACATTTAGCTATTGATGCTTTTCCTCCTGATATAGCCAATTTATGAATGTGATTTAACTCACCAGCGATTGAGAAGATCTGAAGGTTCTCATGAGGTTCAAAGGAGCATATACTCAATTTGTGAGCATGTCAGGTGTGCATTTCTGTCATCTGAGAAGATTGTTTTTCCAAAGTTGTTATTTGGAATGGATAGGGTTTTAGATACATTAGGCCTTATAAACTAGGTTGTCTTTTTTTTTTTTTTTCTGCTCAGAGTTTTGTTATTCCTTAATGTTAATGCTTAGCTTCAAGAAGGCAGTTTGATCACAGATGCCAGAGTGATCAGGTGCTTATCCCAGCCAGACAACCTGAATGGGCAGAGTCAGCCAGCCTTTCAAGTGAAGAATAATTTTGCTGCTTAGACTCGGGAAGGCACCTCCTGAGGAAAATGCATACAGATGGCTCTGCTAATCTCCTGCAACAGAAGCTTTCAGGCTGTGCTGTAGACTGTAATGACTATTACAGCTGCTTATCAAAGGACTGAGAGACTGCATCTCTGGGCATTTGGCACTAGCTCAGATGTTGAGCATTTTAGTATTCAAGCCAGGATTGTTCCCTATGTCACTTAGGGTGTCTCAACGAATTTAGAAATAAAAGTTGGCATATTGCTAATCAAGTCAGCAAACAGCAAGTGCCACGGAGATGCTGAATCCTTAACACTTTCATTCTCAGAGGTGTGAGAAAATGTTTCCCTTCTCTAAGATTCAGCCTCTCAGGCTTTGTCTGTGACTAGTAAATTAAATGTCCCCCACTGAGGCAATGAGGTCATTGAAGCATGGACTGACTGACATCAGTAGGTAGAAGATGCTAGTTCAAACTTCTATATGGAAATGAACCCTCAGCCTGCTTCTGTTAAGATGCTTCAGCTTTTTATCTGGGGGGCCCCAAGTTCACACACTTTATGTTCTGAGCCCACCAAGTCTGGCTTTGTGTATGAAATGAGTAGAAAGTAATTGTGGGTTACCACATGGTGCTGTCCTGACTGCAGTGTTCCTCAGCTTAGAGTGCTGGGGTGTCATTTGCAGCATGTCTGATTCAGAAAACTTGTTTCCTACAGGAATTCAGACTGGTTTTATCTTAGGCTAAGCAGTGCTCCTGTCTAATCACAGTTGCATTTTATGTATAGCTATCCAGCTGACACTGAAAGTTTACCTACAGATACCTAAGTGATGTAAATGTTACATAGGAAATATTGGCCCCATTGAAGCCCCTGAAGTGAGGACCCTGGGGGCTCTTCCTGTTGGGATTTAGCACTCCTGCTGAGAGAGTGATTTGCTTACAGGAGAATGTTCATTTGTAAAGTATCAACAATACAAAGAAAAAATATTCCATGTTTTGACATGTTCTGTTATGTTTGTGTCCAAAAGGCAGTTTTATTAGCCTGGCCCCTATTTTCATCTGGGATCAAATTCATGTCAATTTGCTATTTAGTGAGCAGAGAAGTGGTGGCCTGAAGGCTCTATAGCCGGGAGTGAGATCCAGAAGCTTCTCCTATGGATGCTGGCATAAAATGAATAGCTGAGATGTTTAAAAGCATTGCTGTGCTTCAGTATAGTTGAATTACACTTAAATTACCCACTTTACCCTTCAATAGGTTTTATATTGTCAGTATGAAAATGAGAACCGTTTAGCTGAAAATTAGCCAGACAGTTGTTTTTGAGCAGGAAGAAGATCATCCTGTTCTCTTAGACTAGCTGATCTGTCTGAAGGAAATCAAAGCTCTCCTGAAAGCATTTGAAAGTGCTTGTATTCAGCCAGTCCTTAACTTTGTCTGAAGTTGCTGGGACTTTTCATGTTTTCTGAAACTTTTATACTGCTGCACTGTCAGACCTATTCATAGCTTTGTGTGTTTTTCTTTTAAAGCAAATTGATGGAGAAGCATTCCTGCTAATGACCCAATCAGACATAGTCAAAATAATGAGCATTAAACTGGGACCAGCCCTAAAAATCTTTAATTCCATTCTGATGTTCAAAGCTGCAGAGAAAAATTCACACAATGAACTCTGAAGACAATGGAAAATGTGCACGAACCAGCTTTCTCCACTGGAGCTCATGTTTTATTCAAAGCACAAAGACTCACTAGAAGTGTTGAGTAAGGACTCTCAGAAAGGAAGAAACTGAAGTTCAGCACTCGTGGACTATTTATAATCTCCTGGAGCCAGTACACATCTGAATCCTTCTGGGAAGTGTTCAAGCTTTTGAGAAGGTACTGTGACACCCGAGTCAGCTGGTCTCATTTACCAAACTAATGGCGCTAATTCTCCATGGATGGTTAGGATCCCTAACTCTCTCTGGACATCAAGAAAACCTTCCTTAATTATTTATGCTGTATTATATAAGGGAACGTTAATATTTTCTAAGGATTCTTGAATTGTACTTCATGTACCCATTTTACTTTTCAGAAGCTTCTACTTCATTTTATCAAAATAAAAACTGATCAGCCAAAAATTAGGCTACAGGTAGCCAGATGAGACTGTTATGGCTAATGTGTATTTGTGCCATAGTTTGAAAATGAAACACATAATGTTACATATGTGACACTTTATGCTACAGCATATTACTTTACAGATAATAAAACTGTCTGTTTGCTTGTAACAAAACAAACCTTGTTGGGGTTGAAATTATAATGCTTTTTTGATAACTGAATGTTTTTACTTTTGCACGATTACAAAACTGTTACGTGAGTTTTGCCACCAGCATCTTTCATGTATTTTATCAAAAAACCAGTATAGAGAAGGCTGCAACTGAAAAATAAAGTTTGACTTCATAGAAAATTTTTGTTTATGCTGCACAATAGAGTCCCAGCCATTTACATGGAGTCTGCTACAGTCCATCAGAACATGGAAGAAAATAGGAGTAATTTGAGGCAAGGAAATTAGCAGAAAAGAAATTACATTCAATTGTGTCTGCACTTCCCAGTCTTCAGCATAGTTAACAACAATGGAGAAAAACTGTGCTCAAGCTAGGACTGCTACCCTGGTTTCATATTCTACAGAGATTTGCTTTCCCAGGGGTGGGAAAATTATTTTACTCACCACTTTCTAGCTGAAAACTTTGATTTGTAAATGGATAAGGCATATGGAGAAAGGCAAAGCACAGGGAAAAGGACACTTAAATGCTTGTGGTGCACAGGCACATGCTAGGTGTAAAATACATGCAATTCACCAGGTCATTAGCAGGCTGCAGATGTCACCAGCAGGTACTGAGGTGAGGCAACCTCCTTTCTTGGAGGATTGTTATAGGGAAAGTCGTTGCACGTGGTATATTTACATGAAAGATGTAAACCAGATGCACTTTATATGGGAGAAAGCCTAGCTGCCTGTATACTGAGGACTGCTCCAGAATTACTTTGCAAGAAGAGAGAGAAGAGTTGGATCAGGTTTTTGGCAGCCCTCTGTTTAGTGCTGCAGTGGGCAGTTGCTCAGCTGTGGAACTGAGAACAAACAGAACATTCCCACTGCACAGAGCTGGGAGAATGTTACATCTTCCCACAGATTTTGCTTGGCTTTTCTTTAGCTGGAGTTCTTAAGTTTTCACTCTCTGTGTCCCTTCCAGATCGTGTAGGTGACTGGTTCCTGCCATAATATGAGGTGAAACAGGGTCAGTATTAAGTAAGTTGCATTGCTCTGTTAATTTCCTCCCATAGCATTGCATAAATAATATTTTTTACATTTTGTTCAATATGTGTACGTTCAAATTGCACTCTTATTGTACTACAATACAAATAAAACCTGAACTGGAGCCTCTGTTACCTCTGTGTGTGCCCAGGACTCCCAGATGAACCCAGCTGCTCCTGATGGGTGTGTGTGGAGTGATTTCTCACTGTAGCTCAGTGCAGCCAGTAGTTTTAAAAGAGCAACTTAACTACTGCTATGTGCCCTCTCCCTCAACACTTACTCCCAAAGCTCACATCCCCCTGGCCACTACAATCAGAATGCCATTTATAGCCCTGGACTTTGTCACCACCAGCACCTGAAGCTGCACAGGCAGGTCTGTAAATAGCTAAATTCTTCTGTTTTCTTTCATTGTCTCCTTCTGTGTAGTTTATTTTCCTCTGCCCTCTGTGTCTGTCCTGTGTGCCAGGTCTACAGCCTGCAGTGATAACCAACAAAGAGATCTGCAGCTCAACAGAAATCACCTGGGGATGTTAGCACCTCCCTGGATTTTTATTTACAACTACTTACAAAGTACTGTGGTTTAAGAAATTAATTTAAATTATTACTGTTTACAAGATGTAGAATAAACCTCACTTGACCCCAACTTTTTATTCACACAGCTATCACAATAATGAGGACATACATAATCCTTACTTTTGTATCCCATGTGATGAGGTAGCTGAGTGTCGCCACCTCTGTTACAAAAACTACAGTCAACAAATTTTCTTTGTTGACTAAAGAAATTAAAACCACTCATCAGACCTACTGAATCTCTGAAATGGCATTGGTTTTTGTTTTGTATCTGTGGTAGCCCAGCCCTCACACTGGTAAAGGTTCCCTGCATTCCATGGGAACCATGTGAAGCCTATAGCAGGAGAGTTTGGCCATCAAATGCAGCCATCTCCTCTCATCCTGAAGGATCTCCCACTGTCATCACTGCCTTGGAGTCACCCCTGCACAGCCAAAATTTACCAAAGCTGCTGTGATCTTCCAGGCTGTGTGTTTGAGCGTTTAAAGAGTCATCGTGACCACAGAGGCTGCTTTGCCTACGCTGACATTTTGGAACTGGTGGGAGATTGGTCTCTAACAGAACACAGTGTTTTAATAAAAAGCCAGTTTTTATTTCTAATTAATGCAATGAGTCCTGGCTGCTGTTCCTATCGCCAGGCACTTGCCCAAAGCCATGCAATGCCAGACAGCAACCCTTGGGATTTTCACACAGAAGTTACGAATGGAGTGTTGGGAAAGAGAGAAGGCTGCGGAAGAAGAGAGGAGAGGGCTTCTACAGAGTCACCACGTGGAGAAAGCTGATTTGTTCCAGGGAACAAATTTGGAAAGAAAATGAGAAACAAATTTGGAAAGAAACGTTCCCTCTGCAGCACCAATGCACATGGCAGCATCCCAGATAAGTCATTCTTGCTGCTTTGAGAGCTCGTCTTAGAATGCCTATTTAGTAAATTGAGGATTAATGTTGAAACAAAATGTTTCATGCAAGAAGAAAACAGCAAAAGTCGTCATCCTGTAAATTGAAAATCAGGCCCACCATTTTAAACCACTAAAATTATTATATTAGGCTCTCAGCAATCATAACATTATGAAGTAATAGTAATAAGTAGATATTTAATTTGTGCCATTTCAAAATATTAACTGTATTACCATCTAAAGCAGTGAAATGCTCATGTTGGGTCATAATTTTTTTAATTCTTACAATCAAAATATCTGAATTTTTCAAATGCTCCTTATAGAAAAATAATACATAACACATAAAGTAATCCAGAAAATTTTATTATCTCTAGACTGCTCTAAAATCTACATTTAAAATAATGAAATTGCTGGAGTTTTAATTTTTTGTTAGAAGTAGCCAGTACAATAAAAAAAGGAGGGCATTACTAAACGTAGCTTTTAAATATACATACACTTTGAATAGAAAGAATGGCACAAAGGGAATTATTTTGACAAAATATCACATGCTCCTGAGAGGAGTGCTGGGTGCACCATCAGGTACTGGAGGCTTGGGTGTCTCCAGCCCTGTCTTTACCATGGTGGGCAGGGATGCTGGGCTCTTCACATCAAAGACCAGGGACTCCAGGAAGTTCAGTGTCCTGTGGATTCTCTTTGGGCATGGGATATCAAACACATGGAATGCAGCCACCAGCGCTGCCAGAGCCATGGTGCAGTCATCGAGCTGGGCCAGCTCTTCCCTTTCTATGTACAGGGCAAACTCACATGAATTCACGTTGAAGGGATTTTTCACTTCCAGCACTGGTGTCACTGCCTTTACCTAAATTTAAAAAAGGGTATTTCAAATCATGCCACAACATTGCTACGATGAACATGTCAGAGAATGAAGTAAGACTGATAACACTCCTTTGAAGTTAGGTAATATTTCTGTGAGTATTTCTACTCAAAGGGCAGACTAATGTCACCTCTTCCCAGAGCTGAGCTGAGCCACCAAAAGCCCAGGTGATGTGCACATGCAGGTGACAAAAGGAAGAGAGACCAAGGCTGCTGGTGCTCTGTCTCCTACCTCCTCGTTCACTGCAGCAAACAGACTGGAATCATCTCCAAAGACTTCTGGCAGGAGCAAACATGCAGCAGTCATTTTCATATCTGTCAAAGGCAAGGATTTATACTAAATTACAAATAAAAACTTTCTGGCACTGCAGTATCATCCTGGAAAAACAGATTGCAGTCTATGTAATAGTTAAGAGCTCAGTAGTGGAGCTGTTGTTCAGTCCACTTGGAAGAGTAGTTTGTACCACAGTCAATATTTAGGCAACTCAGCTGGCAATGAACATTAGTGTCAAATAATTCTTGGGACTCTGCTACTCAATATTACAGTTCAATTTTCCTCACAATAAGTAAGTTGGCCTTTGGGTTGCTTTTAGTTGAGTTTGTGAGCTGAGTAGTCTTCCTCCTCTCACTGCCCTTCCCCAAACTTCTCTCTCCCCAGTAAACTGAAGTCTGGGGAGTCCTGTTTCCAGGACTCTGCTTTGACGGCTATGGCACCAGCTGGTGCTGCAGAACCTCCTGACACCTGGTATCTACTATCCCTCTGACTCAGGTGTTATTGACTATAACATCTTTTTTGGCAAGTCAGGCTTCTGGTGTCACGTGCTTCACTGAACTTACCTCACCATGCATTTATTATCTAGGTGCCAGGTCAAGTTGTTTGTGAGAGAAAAACAGAAAAGGAAAGGCCTTAGGACTTTACTAAGGCATGAGTCAAAATCTCTGTGGACATGCTGTATAAGAAAAGGGGAAATTACTTACTATATCCATAGATTACCTTGGCCAAAGCTATGAAAAGAAAGTCCATAAAGGCTTTCTGGATTAGACTATTCAAGGAAGAATTTTAATCTACCATGAGTACTTTTGTTTTTAACTTTAGCGAAGGAAATCCCCAGAATTTTAACCTACACTTCCTGCTTCTTTCAAAGCTGACCTGGCAATAAATGGAGTGAAAGTGCTATAGGACTCACATGTGTTCATATGGTGTGACCTTGGACTGACATCCTGAAATTATTATGCCTGTTTGACAGAAAGTGAGTCTAGGGAGGACTTCTCAGAGAGCTGAGCTTGGGCAGCTGGGCAAGAATGGCAATTCTGAATGACTGCTTGAAGAGTTCTGTCCCTGCAGGACCACACTCCCCACATTTCTCACTGACTGAAAGAAGCTGAGTGTCAGCAGGTGTTTGCTCCCCACAGCCAGGATACACGGACCTCACCAGAGGCACCCGTCTGTCCCCTTTTTCCTGCACTGTTTCTCTGCAGAGTGCCTGAAATGGTTAGTGGGAACTACTTCTTTTATTTTACTGGGGTAAAGATTATAACCATAGAAACTTGACTTGTAAAGGAAATTGTGTCTTTTTTATGGGGCTATTTCTAAAGCAGAAAATTAGTTTTCTGCAGGTATTTTTAGAAAATAATAAGCACTCATATCTAGAAATGCATACTTCTGCTCATCTAGCAATACTTATTTTAAGGTAATTACTTACTTTATCAAACCTGCAGTCTTTTATTCAGTGAAAAAAAAGCTTCAATACTTGACTGACTTAATTTTCCTACTAATTTAGTAGCTTTTATTCTCAATGCTTCACCATCACTCTATATTTTCAAAGAAACCATAACATTTTTGAAATGCGTTTGCAGTACAATTGAAACTAGTTTAGTTACATAAGTAAGAACAATTAGCTACAACAAAACTCTGATATTTAGAGCATAGGAGATTTGTACTGACATTTCAGAACGTCTTCCTCTGTGTGCTGCTTCAGATTTTCTTGCAGCATAATGTTAATTGGATTATTCCTCACCACATACAAGGACAATATGTTTTCTGAATAAATCTCCAAAATCTCGACTGTTTTCTTATGAATGTCCATGTGTGTGAGAAGCTGGAACTCCCTAAAAAGCTAAAAGAAAAACAAGTATTTGGTATTGCAAACCTCAAAACCAAAACTGTAAACAATGCATGCACTTTGAAGACAGGATAAAACTAACTCAGTTAAATAAGATTATAAACTCAAGAGGGTGATGTAAATTTTTTTCAAAGCAGGGAAGGAATACATCAAGTAACACCAAACAGTGACGCTGGTGGTGTGTGGAGCACCTTTAACTCAGAATTGAAGTGATGAACCTTTTAAAATGGGATTTCAGTATGAATTAAAGAGAACGTTGCTGATGGATACTTCAGTGGAAATATCCTGTGAAATACACGCCTACAGATGTATCACATCTATAACACAGGATTCAATGTCATTATTAAAAATAGCTCTGTTACCTGATAAGGGCATCTTAAGAAAGGAAATAGTCTAAGAACATCTTTTAAAGGTGCCTTATCACTGATCATCTTTCTCCGTATTTCTATTGTCACATTCATTCTGTTTTCCACTTCTTCCCAGTTCCTCTGAGTTTTCATATATTCTCCATTAAGCCACTTAATATGTAAATCCATTGCACTGCCTTTAAGATGAACAGGTTCTTCCTATGAAGAAATTAAGGACAGAATTATAACAAATCAGCCTTTTTATCTGATTATTCAGCTTTTTAGCTAATGTCATTTGATGTGACCTCTGTGATTTGACTGTAGTTGAGCTCAGAAGAAAGGGTAGTGTGGTTTCAGTTCCAGCTCTCTGAACTCACTCTCATATTCTAAGTTAGACTAAGGTCTGTTTTCATATAAAACTATACCTGTCAGCCAAGTCCCCCAAGCCCAAATTGCATATTTGAGGCTATTCATGAAATTCCTGTTCCTGTGTCTGGTTTGTCTCATTGTGGTTTATTGGAAACGAGTAGTCAGTTCTAACGACAACTCAGTATTTAGCAATATTAACTCTGTATTACCAAGAGAATTTTAGTATTCTCCTCTTACCCATATGGATCCTAAAAGCAGGACAACTTTCACATTTATGCAGCTGGAATTTTTACCCCCAAGGACACTAGCTGAACTAAAAACCTAGTATTGAAAGCCATTATTTGAGCAGTTTGACTGTTAGTGTTTCCAAAAAGTATTTTTGTACGTGAGGAAAGTTAACAACCTTCCTCAAAATTAATGTTATTGTCCCTGATGTAATTCCAAAGCCAGTAATTACTGAGAGGAGGGGTGGCTATCCAAAGCAGTACACCAAGTGGAACAGCCTGAGTGTGTGTAGCTCATCCATCAGTGGGCACAGGGAAACAAGCTGAGGGACACAGAGATGCACAGCTGGCACAGTTACATCCTCAGGCTGTGTTGCTGCTGGCTTTTCCTGTCTGTATTGTCACTGATGCAGCTGTGATTACACATATGGGCAGCCTGTGGGTCAATGCCAGAGGGAATTGAGACACTTCAAAATGCCCCCCAGAACATTCCCAACACAGAGCTGTGAAACACACAGCATCCCAAACCACTTTGCAGTGCTCTGCATGTGCAATTAAACTTTCCATTTTAATTAACATCCTTCTTTAAAATCATGCAGGTGATATTCCAAGAATGGTTGCACAATGCAGTGAAAAACCTGCCTTTCCTAGTATATATCCATAGCTACAAATAGCCATTATAGGCATCACAGAAGAAAATAAGATTCTGCATGGAGGAGAGATACCTAATGTGCCCTCTGTACAACTCCCTGGCCCTTGCTAGGATTCTGTGCTAGCACAGTCTGCACTCTTTCTAATAGGGGATTTCAGTCTTCACTGTGTTACAACAGTAGTGTGCGTTTTGTGACCACTTGCATAGGCATTCCTGGCCTCTTCCTCACAGCACAGGAGCAGAGGTGGGGAGACAAGTTAGTACCATACCCTCCCCTACCTGCCTGGGAGAGGTGCTGGGAAAAAGTATAAATGATGAGTATATGGTGAGTTTGTCAAGGCTTCACTACACTGGGGTCTGTGGATTCCCAAACTTTATACTTAATAGCCTTCAGTCTTTATCGCTATACAGCCTTCAGTAGATTTTTTTTCTCCTACAATTACTTCTCACAGTCACTTTTCCAGCTCTCATAAAATCATGCCTTCCACAAAATCCTGCCTTAAATGTGACAGTTTAACTATATGCTGTCAGAGGAAATGCATTTATTTGTTTTTCTCCTGCTATTTCTGCTTCCTAATTATCATACTGGATTCAAAACCTATTCACCATCTCCATGCCACTATAGTTTTACAGACATGTCATATTCTGTCCTCAGCCATCTCTTTTCCAGCCGAGACTGTCCTAAGCTATTTAATCATTCCACATATGAAAGCTTGTCCATACTTTCAATTATCCTTGTTACTGTATATGCACTGTAGTTTTTATGAAATAGGTGCAGTATAACTTAAAAGTACTTGTTGAGATGTACTGGAACACCACAGGGGCATACAGTGGAATAATGCATTGCCTTTTGTTCCTTTCTTAAATAATTCTGTGTAATCAAGTTCTTTTTGTTGTTGTTGTTTTCTTTTTTGTTGTTGTTTTGACTGCTACTTAGCATTGTGCCAGATATTCTTTAGCCTAGTATAAAAATAGCATTTGTGAATGGTACTAATAAGCTCAGAGCCCATCACTATCAGTGTTGTTAGGACTGGGTTTTCTCCTTGTCACTTACTTTCCATCTATCAGAACTGAATTTTATCTGCTGGGTTCCCCCCACCCTGGAATGGGGTCCTTATGCAATTCTTCAGTCTTTGTCTTTAGTATCCTTGGTATCATCACAAAAGGTAATCTGCCAACTAGTCTACTTTTCTCATGTTATTTAGAAATATATTGAACTGCTTAAACTAAGCATTCATAATTTTTTCCACTGTAAACTCCAACCATTTCTGCACAGCCTTGTTTGTTCTATCTTATAACTGTTTATCCATTCAAGGACCTTCCTGTTTATCCCTCTCAGATTATATCCTCTAAGAGCCTTTGAAAGGCATGTGCTAAAATCTCTTCTGAATTTAAAGTAAACTCTATCAGCTGGATTGCCTGTGTCCTCAGAGCTGTTGAATACTTCAAAGAACTAATGAATTTGTGAAGAATTAGGTCTGTTTACCAAAACTTTGTTGATTCCTTCCTAATGTGTTATTCTCTTGGGTCTGCATTACAGTTCTTGCCAACTCGGCCAGTGAAAGCAGAAGGTTTCTTGGTCCATATGTTCCCTAGCTCTCTCCTGAAACTTTAGAAACTGGCATGAAATTAGTTACCTCCAATTATCTAATATGAGAAAAATTGTACATCCCAATTAAAAGATTACCTGTTTTATCCTTGGACACCACTGAAAATTTTGTGCAAGTACTTGATCCTGAAAATGTGTTACTGCTCATTTTAGTGAATTATTCTGTCCTCTTTAGTGACATGCATGTCTTGAGACAGATGCCCTGAAGAATGCCTATGAAGAATGGTCCCAGTAATGTGATCATTTGAACTCACCTACTGAGAATGCTTGCAAATCTATCTCATTTTTCTGGTATGGCTTTATATTCTGCCAGCCACCCTGGACCTAGGGAATGCACCTTGAGCACTCCTGTCCCTTAGCAGCATCAGGCTTCTTGCTTCTCACCCTGGTGAGAAAGCCTCTATAACCCATGTAGAAAAGGCAGAAAGCCACAAAAAAGAATTCTGTGTAAACATCCATCAGATCACTCAGAGTCATCAAAGTTTTGTTTTTTTGCTGGTGTGTCATCTCTGCAAGCTTCCCGCATCAGCCTTTGATGGTTTCTGGTATGTAATTTATATTGGTTGACTACTATGAATACCATTCTAGTATTCACATATTTGCAACTGGGCCATTCAACTATTCCTTAACCTGCCAACTTGCCCTAAGTTGGACAGGCTGTCCCTTACTTCACTCTGACCAGGGCACAGAACCAAGGGATGACCCATTCTTGTCAGTCTCAAGATACCCACATTTTCTCACACACACAAACTTGGGCAGTTGTTAGGGCTTTTATTTATGTTTTTAATCTGTGCAAGAGCTAGCTTGAAGTCTCTGACTCCCAACAGCCCTTTCACCACTGGTTTCTCCTGTGGGTCTGCTTTTAGGCCTTCTGCCCATAAAGCAGGAACTTCCCCAGCTATCTGATGTGGAACATAGTGGCTCATTCCCTGAGGGCCTGTCACCTTCAGCGTCTTACTTGCAGAGACAAGAAAGCAAAACAACTCAACCCAGTGTGCTGCAACCACAGACTGACTGACTGGGTTGCTTAGAAACAAACATGAGAAGAAGTTGTGACCTTTACACCAGCTTCTCTCCAACCCCCTTGTCAAGGCAAACTGCTTGATTTGATGGACTTTCCCTGTGGTCAGTTCTGTCCTTGAGACCTAGTTTAGCTGATGATATTATTAATTAGCTAAAAGAGACCATTTGACATTTTCATCAATAGCAAGCCACCAATAGAAATATGGCAGCAGTATAAAGAAGAATTGCTGTCATAGCTATTTATTAGGGGGAAAAAATAGCAATGGAAGCCTAAACTTTGTAGTGTAAATCATCTATTACCTGGGAGAAGTCAGTGTTAGAATTGGTTGCCTTGCAGTGTTCATCCTGCTTAAAGCAATCACCATCTGTAATCTTTCCATCTTCTTTGATTGTGAATAAGTTGGTTTTTAAGGTAAGTGGAAAGGGGAGAGGTACTTTCTTTTGGTGGAAATAAGTGATCTCAGTGGGACACACATTTGATTGGAGAATGATTCCAAATATCATTTAAACTATTTTATAGTTAACTGTAACATTGCAGGAGGAATCTGCATTTGGGAAGCTGGTTACTGAACTGGCTTATCAGCCCACCCAATTCTTTATTTAGGGAGGACTCTAGATCCTCTCCACTTCAACCATCACAGCGAGAAAGCCAGCTACAGAGCAGCAATATTCCAGTAAAATTGACCATAAGGTTAAAGCTCAGTTATTCTGATAATGTGCAAAACCAATCCTATCTAGACCAAAGCTGGGATCTTGTCTCAATGCCCGAAGAAGCCACAGCTAAAAGTTCAGCATGTATACCACACAGAACTAAAAAATAGCCTCATTAAATGAGGAATCTTTCTTCTTGAGGTCACCAGACCCCTCTGGCCAGATTTTCAGTTGTGTCACCAGTAACATCCATTTCAGTTGCAACAATAACAATGTTAATTGGCAATATTTAATTATTTTTGTCTTGTTTAGCAATGCGCACGCTTAGTCTATAACGTAAAGGGTTTCATTTCTTTTTAAACAAAAAAATATTGATTAAAAATAAATATTTCTGGAACAAACAAAAATTTATTTCACAGTCTTTAAATAAGAAGCTGCCTTATAATCAACAAGCTTATGAGAAGTGCAGCATAACAAATAAAAAGGCATAAGGATGTGAAAAGGAAGTTAATGTAGAGGACACCCAGTACCTGTCAGAGTAACCTAGCCCTAGCTTGCAGGATGGTCCTGCCAAGGCTCCTACTCACTCTGCTGGATTCACTCTCAAAGGTGACAGCAGCAGGGAACTCATCCCTTGTTGCCCATGCCCACAAACACTCTTGACTTTTTGGAATCTCAGGTATCTGTGACT